GTGTTTACTGTAGTTCACAGAAGTGAAATGGGCAGAGCTGATAACACTGTGGTATTTCAGTGCAGCTGAGGCAGTGTTGTCAGCGCACTACAGGAAGTTAGGAGCTCATGGATTTTTGACTGATTAACAGGTTTTTTTCTGTACTTGCAGCATTTTATTTACAGATAAAACAAGGGGAATGAACATATATTGGAGAGATTGTAAGCCCTCAGGGGCAGGGCCCTCCTTACCATCTTGTCTTGAATTGTATTGTGATTGTAATGTCAGGGCCACGAATATAATGAAGTGGCCCCATGGGATTGTGTCATCCCCTGCACCCACTTAATTTAATAATTTAATCTAACAATAGTTTTAATCACAGTAAGGTACAGCTTTCTGGAATTTTCCGTGGGCTGTTTCTGGTTTCCCGTTTTGTCTGTTTCAGGTAACCCTTAATAGTGTCACTTCAATTCTGCCTGGAGATGGCTGTCGCTAGAAAGATCTCAGGAATAAGGTGGTCGTGATTAGTTACCTAAGTTGGGGAGGGAAAAGTAAACAACCAATCAGCTGTGGGACTCACCTTTAAATGTTTACAGTCAGAAGCTCTGCTCTGCAGTGATCGTCTTCAACACAACTTGCCCCGCCCTCCCTCCCTTGTCGCGGCTATCCTTTTTTGGGGGTATTGTCGCCCACATATATGGGTGGACAGTGTTTAAGGTTATATTGGACTCGTGTGATGAGTATGGCTCGAGTCTGGGTGACTGAGCTACTTTATGTTAAAAGTTATAACTGGTTTTAAAAGTTAATTTGTTTATACAGTATATTAGTGTTGTTGAATTTAAATAAAGAATTTATATTTTGTTTTCAACCCCAATAAAGGGCCACAGCCAATATTTTCCACTCATACCGTTTGTATAGTCTACATTTATTCTCTTATATATTTCATGTATTTATAGGTTGTGGGTGCTGTGGGGTCTACAATCCCATGTCTTCCTTATATTGTAAAGTGCTGCGCTATATAAATCCGGTATAATAATAATAATAATGTAACTATTTATTTTTGTGCCCTGCTATACTGTACAGTGTAAAAGATTTTTGAGAATGTAGAATTTTTAATTAAAAAATGTAATATTTTTAAAGCTGAACTCCATCCTTTGTCTTGAACACGTGTACCAGCTCCTCTTCTGGACTGAAATTGCTTACTTTGATTTTACTGCACACTGTGAGCATCTCAAAATTATCTTTAGCAACTCAGATACAGCCCGTAAAGTTAATATATCAAATATTTTCACAATAAAAGATAACAGATACAGCCCGTGTCATTTCCTGACAGAGACATCCAGCATCATATAGACTTTTCCTCCACTGCCACGCCTCTCCCACCCCAGAACGCAAGGAGACTTTGTGTATGCGATCCCTTGCGTTCCCAGGTACGGGACAGTGCGGTGAGCTGGTGGAAACAAGCCTAAAAAGATGGTACGTAATAAAGACAGATAATAATGGCTTTTTAAAACCTGTGTTTTTTGGACTCTTTCAACAGTAGATGTCAAAGTTTTGATTTATTGGTTTGAGCTTGGTACAGTGGCGGAACTATTGCCATAGCGTGCCAGGCGCTATGGGGCCCAGGGCACAGGGGGGTCCAGCCAGGACGAGGAACAAAAGTGTCCCCCTGATGCCGTGCAGGCCGCCTGGGTCGCTATGGCATCGCAGGCTGCTGGCTGTCACTGGCGGCTGTGAGGAGGAACGTGCCGCTGTCCAGATCATTGACAACCTTGCTGGCTGGGAGGTGACAAAGCTCTTTTGCTTAAAGGAGAACTATGAGGTGAGTGTTCCTCACTCACCTCATAGTTCTAGCCGACCTGTGACAATGAGAGTGTCACAGGTGGGCGCAGTAGATCGGGAAGTGAGCGAACACATAACGGCGTTCGCTCCCCTCTCGAGCCTGTCACGGCTCTCTGCCGTGACAGGGAAGGGGCTGGATTCCCCGCTCCGATCCACCAGCGCTGACTGGCGGATCGGACGGGGGAGGGGGCGGGTACAGCTGGCTCTGCCTCTAGATAGGCAGAGCCAGCTGTCACTCACGCAGCTGGGCGGATCTCGACATCGATGTCGGGATGCGCTCCGGCTGCGGCGTCTCAGTATACCGCGAGCTGTACACTGAGCTTAGGGTAACGGGAGGACGCTAGTTTGTGTCCTCCCGTTACCCTAAGGAGAACTATGGGGAAAAGCCCTGACCCCATAGTTCTCCTTTAACTGCAGTACAAAAAGTGGGGTCAATGACCTGGATGTTGGTCAGGGTTGTGTAAATTTCAGGATTAGTTGGACAAAATGTCATACCCTGTTACATCTAAGACATATCCTATATACAAATGTATTTAGCTGTTTTCTCTGCGTTTAGCTTTAATACTTACCTATACATTCAGGTGGTGCTGGCTCCCATCTACTATCCAAATTACAGACGATAGTGTCCGATCCTTCCATTTGAAAACCTCTATTACATTCAAATCTCACCATCGAATGTAATCTGTACGGACCAATAAATCCTGAAAGCTTTCGTGAGTGCGGGACAACGGGGGACTCACAGTTAACTTCTATAAAGAAAAACAAGGTGGATGAACACCGAAAACAATTTCATAATGCATATTCATACAGTATATGTATTTATCATAACTGGAGCACGCAGAATCTGGAGCAGTTGCCCATGGTAACCAATCAATCAGCATCTCTCTTCAGTTTGTTCTGGTTAGATTTGAAAATGAGAGAGAGAGAAGCTGATTGGCTGCAGTGCAAATTTGCTCCAGTTTTGATATATTCCCTCCATTGTGTACAGTGCACAGTTTAACCACTTGCTGACCAGGGTGTGTTAAACCCCCTTCCTGTCCAGGCCATTTTTCAGTATTTAGCGCTGCGGTAATGTGACTGAAATTAATTTTATACCATTTTGTGGGGACACATAGAGCTTTCTTTTGGTGGTATTTAATCACCACTGGGGGTTTTATTTTTTTACTAGATAATGAAAAAAGTACCACATTTAAAAAAAAAAAAAACTGTTTTCCCTACGTTATTATTATTATTACATAGTATTTATATAGCGCCAACAGTTTGCGCAGCGCTTTACAATTGTTATAAAACATTTATTATTACCTACATTTTTGGTAAAACATAAAAGACGGGGTCATGTTGGGTAAAACGACACCAAAACAAGTCAAGCTTTAAAATTGTGCGCGCCCGCGAAATCACAAAAAAATACCATACCCAAAATTGGCCATAGGTGACGCTTTAAAAGCTTTTACCGCTCTTCAGTTTAGTGTTATCAGTGATTGATGGCCCTAGAATTATTGCTCTCACTGCGACGTTCACAGTGATATGTAACATGTGCGGCACAATCGTCATTTTTACACGTAGGCGCACGCGACGCATGTTCGTGTGTGTATGTGGGGGCGGGGGGCTTTAAAAAAAATGTTTTATATGGGACTTACATTTTTTTTTTCACCTAACTTTATTGCTATCACATAGAAAGCCCCTATGTGATAGCCAATTTACACAGACAGAACCTTTTTATGAAGACATCAGGGGTCTCTAAGACCCCTAATGTCACCTAAAACGCCCAAAGAAGCTGATAAAGCAGAGATCTGCTTCACCAGCTTCTCTCCAGCTACAGAAGCCGGAGATTGCGGCTGAATGCAGGAGTGATGTAATATACATTTACTTTCTGCATTCAGAGACCGGCGGGGAGCTCAGAGGGAGATGTCACTCTGATCTCCGGTGACAGAGCCGCCGTGCGGGTCCCAGGCCCGCGTCAGGCACAGCGGAGCTCATGATCGGCGGAGGGGGCTGCACACCCACATGCGTAATACAAGCGCCGCCGGACCACTTGTATGTAAAAAGCAATTGCTGGCTGTCTACAATTTAAACAGTTTTCCCTCTCGTACGCGCCACCCAACGGCGCGAATAAGCGGGACGTCTAAATACGCCTACTCACATTCAAGAAGCTCTCGGCTGGCCGTTTAATTATAACAGCTGGCTAGGAGGTGGTTAAAGGAGTACTAAAGTCCCAGCATATCTTACCCTGTTATAACATCGGCATTGTAATAAGGATAATACTAGAGTTGTTTTTGATAATGCAATCGAGGCTTAGTTGATGGGGCCTTCCGTTTGTCCATTAACAATTTCCTGGATTCTCAGTGTGTTTTGCATCTTTCCCTGCTGCTTGATGTGATAGAATCTCAATTTCTCAAGACTACATATCCCATCATGCATTTCTTCCAGCAAGCAATGACAATGTTACATTGTTCAGATGTTGAGTTGTAGTTCAGATGGCAGGCTCAGTTAGATTGGTGACACAAGAAGTGCTGATGCCGAGGGCTGAGTAAAATTGTTTCAGTGCATTGAGGAAGTGCATCCTATGGGCATCTTCAATAAGTAAGTTTACAAACTTCTAGATGGATCTGGTTATTAGGAGTGGGATAGAACTTCAATTATATAGAAGTTATATGGGATAGAAATGCAATATATAAATACATATGTATTAGTTTTTGATCATAGATACATTTTAGGGCCCATTCACACCGGATCCATTGATGCCAACAGGAGGGCAATGAAAAATGAATGGATGTGAATGGGGTTAGTTTACACCTCTTGAATTGCAATAGCCAATAGCAGGCTGGCTATTGCTCCGCCCACTGCCTTCTGTCAAACAGCAGAGGAGCAAACCTCAAAGAGAACTTTCTCCCTCAGGTCTGCTTCTCTACAGACTGACAGAAGGTAGTGGGAGGCAGCCATTCTGCTACTGACTATTTTAATTTGCAATAGCAGTTAGCAGGCTTACTATTGCTCCACCCCCTGCCTGATGTCAATCCACATAGGAGCAGACCTGAGGGAGAAAGTTCTTTCAGTTCTGCTCCAGTGCTGATTGACAAAAGGCAGTGGGCGGAGCCAGCCATGCTATTGGCAATTGCAATTTAAAATAGCTAATAGCAAACAGGGCCGGATTTACTCTCCCTGCTGCCGCAATGCGCCCCCCGCATCAATGGAGAATGGCATCCAGATGGCAGGGGCGGCAGGTTTAGTTTTAATTTATATATTGTTTCTTTTTTTTTTAACATTTATTATATTATTATTTTTTAAATTTTAATTTATGCAATAATTTTTTCATCAATTTTTTTTCACTTAACTTTATCGCTATCACACAGGAGATAACAATCCCCTGTGTGATAGCATTTGGAGGTGACAGGTTCTCTTTATTGACCCTGTCACCTCCAATACAGGAGTTCTAGCACAGCAATGTGCTGGAACTCCCGTGACAGGTGAGAGGGGAAGACTGCTCTCCCATCTAATTGTTTACACGGAGCGGCAGGGTTCATTTTAACCCTGCCGCTCTGCTCCCCGCTCTCCATCCTGAAGTGGCCAGCGAGGAGTGATACTCAGCGGCGGGGGAAGACGGAGCTGGAAGGAGGAAGTACGGAGGACGTAGATAGCGAGTAGAGAGGTGGGGGCGGCGGGGGGAGGATGGACAGGCTGCAGACTTATTACAAGTGATCTCGGCGACATCGCCAAGATCACTTGTAAACAAGCAAGCGGCTTGCCCGTTCTACATTTAGTTCTGCTTGTGCAAAGCAGGGCTAAGTGTAGAAAACAAATTACCGCCCGGAAACTGCATGTCCCAGGCGCCGGGGGATTCTACACCGCTGCTGCCCCTCTGTTCCCTGCTGCCCTGAGGCCGGCCCTTGGTGACTTTGTGGGGAATCCGGCCCTGATAGCAGAATGGCAGGACATGAGAGAGAAATTTCTCTCTCAGGTCCTCTCCTCTGTGATTGACATCAGGCAGTGGGCGGTTGCATAAGCCAGCCTGCTATTGACTATTTCAATTTTAAATAGCAGGCTTTGTTTATTTCTGCCCACTGCCCAATTTTTTCTTTTTTTTCATATGTTGGCCAATGCTGGAATGACTTTGTGGAACTTTTTTTTTAACATTTTTAAAAATAAAATAAAAGAATTGTCAAAAACGTGTGTTTTTTGTTCAAATAAAGGATTTGTTTCTAAGGTGTGGTGTGTTTATTTACATTTTATTAAATACCCCTTACTCATTCACAAGGGGGGCATCTGGGTACCCCCTTTTATAAACGGGATAAAATAAACATTTACAGGGTTATTCACAAAAGGGTGAAGAGTTTGGAGAAGACAGGAGAAGTGAACAATCTAGGACAAAATAGCTGATTTGGAAAAATTCTCCAATTCAGCTCACTTTCCAGTTCAGCTATGTTGTCCTAGATAGTTCACTTCTCCTGCCTTCTCCAAACTCTTCACCCTTTTGTGAATAACCCTGTTAATGTCACTTTTCTGCTACAGATTCTCGTTCGTAATGATCATTTAACTCATCCGAAATTAACGAAAATTCTGAATCACCCGAAGCCCACCTATACAGCGCGGCTGAGGATCACTCCAATTTCCATTCTCCATGCAGAATATAGAGCTGTCATACTCCATCACCATGTTAGGGTTACTGCATTCATATCTTACAGCATCTGCAAAATAGTACTCTTCTTTCACAGGGTAAAATGTCCCATTAGGAATGGTCTCAGGTGGGGGGCACATTGCAGCTGAAAGTCAAAAATACATGTTCACTTGGTAAATGTCAAACAATTATTTCCTATGCTCCTCAGTTCCATTTGGAGGCTGTAATGCAGAAATACATCACAATACATTGGACCTGAAAATAAAATATATTAAGAACGTTCATTTTTGCCATTGTTCACACAAAACGAATATACACAGATATTCGCAGGGTGAAAGGCCCTGCAATTTTTTTTTATAAATAGACCCAAAGTGTTGGGTATTTTTATTGCTGAAACAGCATAATTATTATTATTATTATTATACAGGATTTATATAGCGCCAACAGTTACAAAGCAAACACTGATGCACAAAGCAAAATTAAGCCTGCAGAAAAAATGTAACATTTTATACAAATGAGAAACAGCTGCAGAAACGTTTGCTGTGGTGCCTTGACAGTGCCGTAGCACCAAAGTACAGCTATAGAGTTAGTACAATATAGTAATGCTGGCAGGCCTACAGTGGTGGTAGGAGATGGTTATGGGGTCAAGCCAGCAATGGTAAAAGAAGCTGTTAATGGTGACAGGAAGTGGTATTTGTGGCAGGCCTAGAGTAGTGGCAAGAGATATTTATGCTGTATGGTATATAAAGGTTGTTGGGGCCAGATTCAATCCAAAAATGTAATCACTAAAATCAGCTTCAGGGGCCCGGTATAGTCAGGCTCTTTTTTTATTCATAAAACCCACCACTGCACTAATTGTGTGTCCTGGAAGCCCACTGGCTACCGTGCAGCCCAGCAGCTTAATTGCATACTGGGCAAGTTCAGTTATCTTGTTACCCAAAAGTCAAGAGGGTTGTCCATACTGATCTTGCCTTGACCCCATATACCGTATTTGCTGGCGTATAAGACGACTCTGCGTATAAGACAACCCCCTACATTTTGTGTTAAAGGAGAACTATGGGGTTAAGGCTTTTCCCCATAGTTCTCCTTAGGGTAACGGGAGGACACAAACTAGCGTCCTCTCGTCACCCTAGGCTCAGTATACCGCGAGCTGTAGCTTGCGGTATACTGAGACGCCGCGAGCTGCTGCTCGCGGTATATGGAGACGCCGCAGCTGAAGCGGAGCCCGACAATTGTGCCGGGATCCGCCCAGCTGCGTGACTGACAGCTGCCTCTACCTATCTAGAGGCAGAGCCAGCTGTACCCGCCCCCTCCCCTGTCCGTTCCGCCAGTCAGCGCTGGTGGATCGGAGCGGGGAGGGGGGAATCCAGCCCCTCCCCTGTCACGGCAGAGAGCCATGACAGGATCGAGAGGTGAGCGAACGCCGGTATGTGTTCGCTCACCTCCCGATCTACTGAGCCGACCTGTGACAGTCTCATTGTCACAGGTCGGCTAGAACTATGAGGTGAGTGAAAAGCACTCACCTCATAGTTCTCCTATAAAATATAGGTTTTGGGCTATACTCGTCTTATAATAATGTTTAAATGCACCCACTAACATCCATGGCGGTATTCCCGAGTGTGGCTCGGGGTTAATTTTCAGTACCATAAGCGGGACCCCGAGCCACACTCGGGATTACATTCTCTTACCTTGTCCACGATCCCCGCTGTGTCCTCCGTCTTCTGCTGAGTCAATCACGGCAGGCTTTGTATTAATGAATTCAGGCTTTGTATTCATTAATACAAAGCCTGCCGTGATTGGTTCAGCGCGGTATACTGTATGTAGCCCAAGCTACATACTGTATCCTTCCGTATGTACCCGACGTATAAGACAACACCAATTTTCGGGGGATGTTTTAAGGTCTCAAAACCCGTCTTATACTCCGGCAAATATGGTAATTAGAGATCATATAGTTCAGGTGCTGCCTATAAATGCTGTCAGTAGACAGCACTGGGCACTGGATACTAAATAAGAACTTGAAAGCCACCACCACTGCTCCTCTGTTCACCGAGAGGATGGTTAATGCTATCCCAGATAGCAAGAAATTGTGCTGCAAGTTTGAAAATGACTTGCTAAACTCTTGCAGACTTGCCAAGCTTCACAATTTTGTTGCACAATTACAGCAAGTCTGCATTGCAAGTCTCCAGACCAGCGGGCTTGCAGAGCTCTTGCTAAGACCTGCAGGACTCTTGCTGTAGACTTGCCAAGCAAATTTGCTACAAATTCAAAAAGTGTCAACTAGAACTTGTCCTGCAAGTGTTCTGCAAGTCTACAACTTGCCAGGAATATGTGCAGCAAGTTAACAAAATTACAATTTAACCCCGACACAAGTTGTGGCAAGTTATCCTTGCTATCTGGGATGTTGGGCATAAAAAGGGATACTGCCAGTATCTGAAAAAACGTTAGGAAGTTCCTCTGCAGCATATCCTCCAGAGGTTTCATTTTGGGATTCCTCTATGATGGCAAGGTGAGGTCTGGCATTTTCACCACTGAAGTGGTGAAGAAAACCTGGATACTATGAGCCTGTCCTCATGCCATACTCGCTCAAATTCTCACTGATGGCCTGCTGATGCAAATGCAACCACTGCAGCATGGCTAAGGTAGAGCAAGGTCCAGCAGGTGGGCATAGCACATATCAGGTGGTGTTCAGGCAGGTTTGTCAGGGTCTTACCTTGCCTTGTCCAGTTGCTTGTAGCATGGCTGAAATGTTTGTAACACCGAGGTTGCTCTTTGGCACCCTCTTATGTCCAAACCCGCACACATCATCACTCTGCTGCACTGGCTAGACTCCTGGCTAATTCTTGTGCCACAGTGATGATGTAGGCAACAGGTGACTGTATAACCTTCACCTTGTGCATTCAGTCTTCACTCTTGTGTTCGTTCTGATCAACCAAGTGTGCTGCTGTTTGTTCATATTTTCCGTGTATGATCCTGGCTCTGGCCGACTGATCTTCTGGTTCCTGACTCTGGCTTTGTTTCCATTCATCCTGCTCTCTGTGCTCCTTGACATGGCTTGGCTGACTCCCTGCTTTGGCATCTGACCCCTGGCTCGGCACTGACTACGTCCTGGACTTTCTCAATTGTTTTTTGCCATTTATGTTTATTGTTGTTTTCAAAAAAACTTTTATATTTTAAACCTGCACTTTAAGTTTCAGTCTGGTTTCTTGGTTCCCTAACAAGGTTGAGTTGCAGCTGAATTTTAGCCATGCAAACACTGGCTGGGTATGACCACCTAAAGTGGCTACACTTGGCCTGTCTTGGAAGATCATATAAACCAGTGTGCCTAACTAGGACCTGCTGCACCACCTGGTTGAGAATGTGTGCCATGCAAGCCACGTGCATTAACTTTTGTACTGCTGTCACACAGGACTTTTCCTGGTGCAAAATGGTGTGGGGGTAGCGCTACAATGGCATAAAGTTAGCCACCTGCCCCTGCAGAGCTGACAGAATTTATGCCACAGTGTTGCTACTCCAAACACTGCACACTCTTCTCACCCTCAACACTGTCCTCTCATAGTTCTCCTTAGGCCCCATTCACACTGCGCGATTCGCACGATTTGCATTTTGCATTTGCATTTTGCACGATACCGTGCGATTTGTCGCGCGATATCGCGCAAATGCTTGCATTGAGCAAGCGAGAATCGCGGCAAAATCCGCTCCCAAAAGGGTCCTGCTGTAGCGACACGCGACCCGCGACAGCAGGACACTTTGCCCCATTGAGATGCATTGAAGAGCGATATCGCGCGGTAAATAGCCACGATATCGCGGGAATTACCGCGCGATAAATCGCTCAATGTGAACGGGGCCTAAATAAAATCAGACCACTGATTTACATTCCCTTAATGGCTTTTCTTTCTTTATCGTGCCACTGTTTGTAAAGTTCCCCAGTTCTTGTTCTCAGCTTAATACTTTTCTCCACTTATACCTTTTCTGCAAATATGTATTTTCCTCTTCTGTTTGTGGACATCCCATTTTATATTGGGTCCTAAGATTCTTGTGAGCTCGCTTTTTTATCAACAAAAGTGACATTAAAGGATATTTTTCCCCCTCCCCCAATGTTAGTGTAGGGACTTACCTTAAATGAGGTTTCTTAATCCGATCTTCCTCTTCTTTCCTGATGTTTTCATCTGTCCCTCCAGCGGTGCGGCGGCTCTCCGATTCAGCGCTGACTCCTCAGTCTTTGCAGGCACTTCTGATCCAGCAGTGTCTGCATGTGGGTGCACGCGTCCATAGACTTACCTTGCGTCTCTCCTCGTCTCCCGGCCTGCGCATGCACCCGCCCTAAGATGCTTTGCGGCCGCCCAAGCAGTTTCGGATTCTCGGGCGGTAGCGCGCGACGAAAACAGGGTAAGTGTAAACTGCTGTTAAAGCGTTTTGTTTTTAAAAAACATTTTTTGCCTATATCTACTGCTTGCTAGCAGTAGATATAGGCAAAACAAATGGATACCAGGACTCTACCTTCACCTGGCAAACTTATTTTGCTAAATAAAAGTCTCCATCAAGGTTTTTTTTTGACTGAATTTTGACTGCACAAAGTCTGAAAGCATCTGGAATAACTTTTTACTGAAGTGCATTGGGAACAACAATGGGTCATATACATGCATTCTGAGCTTGATGAATGCACAAGAGCTTTAGAAATCAGGTTAAGGGTGCCATTTTGCATAATCAGTTTATTGCATTTTTTTAGATAGTAATTAATGTAATCAATGATTGCAATGTGTGATAATTACTAAAACAATGCATATAGATTTTAATTTTCTAATGATTGGTAGCCAGAGACCAGGTCATCTCGACTGCCTAGGTTGGGAGCTCAGGAACAAGTGATTTAATATTTGGCTTTTGATTTGGTATTGCTGACATGCACCCAATCAATTATTTACAGGGCAAATTTTATTTATAGGGTAAGGAGGATTTAAAGCCTTTTTAATAGTTTTGTAGATATGGAAGAAAAATATCAGCTAAATCTCAATCTTTTCAAAATATATTTGTTACTTAAACTTAGGGGCAGCCTTAAAGTGTGCTGTATGTATAGCCAGGGATTTTTTTTTGCTGTCTGTGTGCCACTGGGGACATTTACATTTACTTTTCCATTCTAGACACACCACAGAAAGTTAGAGGAAATGTCCCCTGTTCTATGTGAAACAGGTGTCCCCATTAGAAGATGTCCCCGTCCCCACTTCTTGTTCTGAGGACAATTTTACATTTTGGATTTTTCCCTCACTTTCTTCCTCAGAGAGTCTTCCTCATTCTATCCAAAACAAAAAAAAAGGCTTAAAAAGGAGAACTATGGGGTTAAGGCTTTTCCCTATAGTTCTCCTTAGGGTAACGGGAGGACACAAACTAGCGTCCTCCCGTCACATTAAGCTCAGTATACCGCGAGCTACAGCTCTGCTGGTCCTATTATCTTACACAATCGGTTTGTTGATTAAAAGCAATAAACTCTTTACGAAAGAGCTCTTGGGGAGTGTAGTTCTAGGGGGCGTGGCTATGCCTGTAGCAACTGAGCTCCCAGCATCTGCCCTTGGAAGCAGTATACAAGCCTGGTGAAGAATGATGTTACAGGGAGCAATTAAAGTTGTTTCTCACTAGGTAAAGTTAATTAATAACGCTATCACATGCTCTTGGGGGGAGGATGAGTTTGGGGGTAAATTTTGGTTTGGTAATGCTGACATGTTCCATATTCATTTACGTGAAGTATGAACTTTAAAGACAGTACAGTTTGTCCACTTTAAAGAACTCCACAATGTGCTTTTTGGCGTTCTGTAATCAGATTTGGAGCAACTACATGACTGTGTTTTTATTTAATTATTTACCTTCACATTCAGGAACACTGTTACTCCATGTTCCGTCTGCTTGACACTCTCTGTAACACCTTTTTGAAGTCATATAGTACCTTAAAAGATAAATACATAATCAAAGGTATATAATTGTGTCACCATATTGCTTAAAGTGATATTCTGAGATGCTAAAGGGGAGAACATGCTAATTAAACAGCAGCCGATAATATCAGCAATGTTATTCTGCCATTTTTCACTGGTTACTTTCTGGTGATGGTCTTTCTACCAGATTATAAAGCTTGAAATGTCAAGATGTAAAAACATGCTAAAAATAGTGGAAAAAATTATGAAGGTTGGAAAAATCAGGTCTGTTCTCAGCCCTGCATGACGGAACCAAAGAAAAGAGCAACATTTCTGTAAAAGGTGAAAACAAGTGAAAGGTAATATCACTTGTTAAAATACAAAGAGTCTATATACACTGTGTACTCTATCTATCTATCTATCTATCTATCTATCTATCTATCTATCTATCTATCTATCTATCTATCTGCTGTTTTGAACTCTGCATTGCTTTCACCTGAACTTTCATTACTGACTACTAAATGCTGCATTACATATCCCTTACCCCTCCACTCTGCGTTACTTACTACTGACCTCTTAACTCTGCATTACAAACTCCTGACCCCTGCACTTATTGTTACATACTTCAGACTTCTGAACCCTGCACTACATTTTCTTGACCCCAGCACTCAGCATTACTTACTCCTGGCCCCTGCAATGTACGCTTCTTACTCCTGACCCGGCACTTTGCATGACTTACTCCTAACACCTGCCCTCTGCATTTCTTACCCCAAGCCCTTCACTCTGTTACTTCTAATAATTTATTGCATATATAATAATAATTAGGGCTGCAGAAATTAATGATTAATCCCTCGATTAATCGTTATTTTTTTTGATCGATCAAAATTCTTTTGATCGGTACTCACCTCTCCGCTGGCTTCCGGGTCTTCCAAGAGTTCCGTTGGAGATCCGATGATGTCACGGACATCGACGTCACCGGACTCCTTCCCCAAGTGGCTCCATCGGCTAACGTAGGGAAGGGGGGAGGAGTCCGGTGACGTCACCGGACTCCTCCTTCCCTTCGTTAGCCGAGGAGTTCCGCCTGTGTGTAGGCCCAGTGAGGAAGCAGAGGGCCCGCAGCTCCTTCAAGCAAATCCCCCTCCCTCCCCCAACGCTCTGCCACCCGTAGCAGTAGACCCTCTGGCCGCCGAGATGAAGCAGCTGCTGCAGGAGTCAGGTAAGGCTGGGTGAAGGCTAGATGGGGAAGGGTGGGTTTAAACTGGTGGGGGGCGCGAGGGGGGGTTTAAACTGGTGGTGTTCTAATTTACATTATAATGTATTGCTTAGACTTGTAGTCCTGTATAGCTGGTGGTGTTCTGCATTGATGTATAATGATTATACATCAACTACGCAGGACTGCAAGTCCCAGCAATACATTATATTAAGTAGGGATGCACCTGTGCCAATACTGAACATTTTCACAAGCACTCGTACTTGTGAAAATGACCCAATACTAAACGCAGATACCGGCACTGGCGAAACTACCAGGGCTGCATCAGTCGCATTTGTGACCGGGCCCTGGTGTTCCGCCAGTTTGGGGGGCCCAGAGAGACCAGAACACTGACATTGATTTGCCATGTGTTCCAGAGATCACACTGTGGCCGGATGGTGTACCTGCGTTGCCATTGACTTTAATGCAACAACACGCCCCCTCCCGCCCCAGAATGCAGTGAGGCGGCCGGGATGCGATCCAGTGTGTTCCAGCACGAATCGGGGCGGAACCAACTGGAACTGGTGTGAACTAGCCCTGAAAGTCATAACAAACATAGAGGGGAATTTATCAAAACTGGAGCAGACAGAATCTGGAGCAGTTACCTATGGCAACCAATCAGCATCCACCTTTTATTTTTAAACCTTAACTGAACAAACTGAAGAGAGAAGCTGATTGCTTGTCATAGGCAACTGCTCCAGATACTTTTGCTTCAGTTTTGATAAATTCCCCTCATACTGTTTGAGTGTGTGTGTAGGCCAATGTAGTGGGATCTGTATGCACGTTATAATTAATCGAAATTAAATCGGAAAAAAAAATTTGATTAATCGAACACGAACATTTTAATCATTACCAGCCCTGATAATACTAATGCGCATAGTTTTCGGCTTGACATGTTTGGTGTCTATTTACCAGATGTGATCCTATCTATGATATTTTACCAAAAAATTGGGTATTATATTCTGTTCCTGTGAACTATATTTTATTTTAGTGTATTTTATCCTAAAAATACTGGTGTGATAAACATTTGTACAAATACCATGTGACAGAAATTTTTTTAGAATTTTTTATTCTACAGGACCTCTGCTTTCAGAAAATATATAATTGTTTGGGGGTTTTAAGCTGTTTTCTAGCCAAAAAATCAGATTGTATCATGTGTTTGCAAATATTAAGAAATTGATCTGGATGGCAAGTGGGTAATTTACCCATATTTTTTGCAGAGCAGGGATGCTCTCACAAATTGAAACAATAGTTATATACCTGTTAAAAAAACAAACAAATGTATATGCATAATAATCATAATACAAAATCATTGAAAAAAATAACCTCCGAGAGGAGCCGTGGCCTAACAACTTGAACTGCTGAAAGCTAACGCTCATGTAACTTTAAATATATACAGTATAACATTCAGGCTCACCCCGCATCACAGTAATATTTTACTCTAGAGGCAAACAAGAAGTTTTCTGCTTCAAAATATCCATTTTCCATATCACCGGGATATCCACATGCTCTTACTGTGAAATAGAAGACAGAATTTAAAGCCAGTCTATATTCCATATACTGATATTTTGCAATCTCAGAGAAAGGTCCTGGTAGTCTTTTCTATTGATAGCATGACATATTGGAAACAAGTATTTTTCACACAATACACTCCCCTCATCCCATTCCACAGATCCACTCTTTGCATATCCACATTGTAAAGCTAACTAAGCACAGATATCAAAAATATAAATAAAATGTATTTAAAATTAGTGATGGGCCGAACACACCCGAGTTCGGTTTGAGTTCGACCTTTAGAACATGGAAAGAGTACGAACTCGAACTTCGAACTCAATGCAAGTCTGTGGGACCAGAACTCAGAAAATCAAATGTCCCCTTTTTGAAGGTTTATATGCAAGTTATTGGACATAAGCAGAGTATAGGGATTCGGGCACTGCCCCGGGGGACATGTATCAATAAAAAAAAGCAGGGCTGGAAAGGGGAGGGGACGAGCGAGTGCCCCCCCCCCCCATACCAGGCTACATGCCCTTGGCACTGGGAGGGTGCTTTTCCAGGGTTGCCCTCCCCCTTGTGAATGAGTAAGGGGTACTTGTACCCCTTCCCATTCACCAAAGGGTTAAATAAAATTGTAAAAAAAGAGGCCAGACATTTGAAAAAATCCTTTAATTGAAAGAAAAAAAACCAAAACAAAGGATTTTTTACAAATCCTTTAATATTAATAAATAAAAATGTAAAAAATGGATCCACCGATGTAATCCAGGGTCAATCACGACGTCCAGCGTTGTCCACGACGACGACTCGGCGAAATTGAAAAAAGAAAAGAAATAGAAATAATTTTTTAAAATCCGACGCCTGCCAACCCATCCGCTCGCGACGAACTCCCGCCGCAGAATGGCATTCTGACAGATTTCGGCAAAATATAAACAATTGGGCGGAGCTAGCGGTGACATCTACACTAGCTCCACCCAACTGTTTACATTTGTCCGGCACCTGACACGACTTAGCTGTAAACCATGATTGGGCATCATGGCTCTTCAGTGCACTGTGCCGTGACTGGGCAAAGTCTTGCAGCTGACCTGTGATCAGGTGCATTGTTTTAGCCAATCAGGGCTTCACAAGGCACTGTGCCATGCCTTGTGGGGCGCTCGGCAGGCGAGCACACGAACTACCAATGTTTGAGTCGAACTCTTGCTCGACTCGAACATCGAGACCATCCCTATTTAAGATGTCACTTTGTCTAATGAACATATACCTGCAGCAGTTCCCTGGCCAGTACTCCCCATCCAATACCCACATCCATTGCCATTCGCATAAAGCATAGTTTTCTGTCCACCTTATATTGCTATTTTCTGCCCCACTAGCCAATTGAAATATGTGGAAGGCAGGAAGGGGGTGGGCAAGCCATGACACTATGAGGAAGCACAGGTGCTTTGCCTACTACAACAGAGTGTATTCAAGGAAAGCGGGGATAGGGCGGTTTAAACCTGCCGCTATGTGTAGGAACCCTAGAAACACATTGAGGGGAATTTATCAAAACTGGAGCAGACAAAATCTGGAGAAGTTGCCTATAGTAACCAATCAGCTTCTGTCTCCAGTTTGTTCCGTTAAGATTTGAAAATGAAAGAGAGATGCTGATTGGTTCCCATGCACAGCTGCTCCAGATTTTGTCTGCTCCAGTTTTGATAAATTCCCCTCATTATACATCTTAACGTTTTTTTTTTCTATTTCAAGCGACAGAGTCACTTTAAATTTGTATATGAACTGATATTTAAAGGGTAACTTCACTTTAAAAAAGTGTAAAAAATGTATATAGCATATGTAATTGCTGCATAAACCATTGTGTAATTGTATGTTATTATAATGTAGCTTTCCATTTAAATCTGCAGCCGCTTTAATTTAGAAAATTAAAGCGGTTGCAGTGTAAAAAAAAAAATTCAATATGACCAGCTGGAAGCATTCTGTACCCAGAAATGTCACTTCCTGCTTGTGTGATTGGCTGACTGATCTTCCCAGAAGTCTACACTAAGATACAAGTAAAAACTTGGGCATCCCTTGCAATAAGAATGTCATTTTTGATGAGTTACTCCCTACAACCCCATTCACACTTGCGATATTGCAAATTGCGCATTTGTTGCGCAATTGTCATTTGTGCAATATTGCACGTTTTTCCACGCGATATCACAGAAATTTTCGTATTTGGCTGAGCACAATTGCGCGACATCCGTGTAAAAAAATGGGTCCTGCACAAGCGACGTGCAACAGCCACAAGCTACAGGCGACATGGAGCTGTAAATGGGAACAGCTCCATTGACATGCATTGGACTCAGTGTGAACGGGGCCTAAGGGTCAATTAATACAAAAGGGATGCCAACACTGCACCTTTCCTCATTACAACACACAAGGTTTACCAGCTGATTATAATGAACAAAGAGCCTCCTATTCAGCAATCAGTTTGGAAAGGACATGGGGAAGCAAACAGCTATTTCTTCAGAACCGAAACAGGTATAGGAATCTGGAACAAACTTTATACACATCCTTACAATGTACATTACAGGAGGAGATCAGAAGTGCTATTTTTTAAAAAAATTTGAAAATAATATTTTATGCAAAAACATGGCAAGTGTTTATAATAACACAGAGTGCAGGTAAGAAAAGACAACCAGAAGTGAGGAGAGAGAGAGAGAGAGAGAGAGAGAGAGAGAGAGAGAGAAGAGAGACAGAAGAGAGACAGCAGCGAGAGATGAGAGACAGCAGCAAGAGAGAGAAGAGAGACAGCAGAGAGAGAAGAGAGACAGCAGAGAGAGAAGAGAGACAGCAGAGAGAGAATAGAGACAGAAGAGAGACAGCAGAGAGAGAAGAGAGACAGCAGAAAGAGACAGCAGAGAGAGACAGCAGAGATAGACAGCAGAGAGAGAAGAGAGACAGAAGAAAGACAGCAGAGAGAGACGAGAGACAGCAGAGAGAGAGACAGCAGAGAGAGACAGCAGAGAGAGAAGAGAGACAGAAGAGAGACAGCAGAGAGATAAGAGAAACAGCAGAGAGAGAAGAGACAACCAAGAGAGAGGACCGGTTCACACTACAAAGTCTGAACCAACCCTCTGAAGGACCGGTGTAAGCTAAAGAACTCAGGTAGGAAAGTAACTATTATGTATTAAAGCTGAATTCCAGACAGATATAAATGGTACAATTAAATGCAGCTCTGTGATCAGTAATGCAGTGTAAGTACCTGAATTGATCAGACTCTTGCATTTTACCATATAGCAAAGCTCAGAAAGGGGGAGGGAGAAGCAGCACAAGGAAGCAATCAGGTATACTGCAGTGTAAGGAGCATGCTGTTAGGGAAAAGAGCAGAGTTGCAGAGTGATGAGCTCATCAGTGTGCTGCTTCTCCTTTCACTGCCCAGTCACAAGATGGAGGCATGGAGGAGACCTGTAAGTGAAAGTAAAACTGCAGCAGAGAAAGAACAGGACCCCTCCTGGGCATGGTAATAATGTGTAACAGAGCCATGTTCATCTCAGGACTGGAATTACATGAATATGAATCATTTTGCAGATAAAACAATGTCTGTATATTTAGCTGTTTGCCTGGAGTTCGGCTTTAGCCAGCCTGGCAGTACATAATATAATTGTAATGTATTGTGAACAGCTTTTTAAAACCAAAACAAAGTGCAATATAAATGTTTGCTTACGTCGGCAGAATTCATCATTGGAGGACCACTCAGAGTTGTCCAAGCAAGTAATATAGTTTTTAGCTCCTGGAACTCGTATAAACCCAGGCCGGCAATCGTACTTCACCGTGAGCCCTACAGCAAAGGCCATTTTATCTGCAAACTCTGCTTTCGGCGATCCATAGGGGATGTCTAGAGGGAGTCCACAATCACCTGTCAATAAAACAGCTCAAATCATTATTTTTGTATGAGGAATTTAAAAGCCTTACCCTTGCTGTGGATTACCCTCGCATTGCAAGGGTCAACTGCTCTTTTGTCTAGAGCAAGCTAATGAAGATATGGAGGGATGTGGCTTGCCAATGGTGGAGTAGGACGCTCAGAGATTCTGCTCTCCTGAGGTTTGAGGCTATTGGCCCACTTTACTTTCAGCTGTTTCACTTGCTATCATGGGGAACTACCCAGATAGCAAGGATAACTTGCTACAAACTTGTGACAGGGTTAAATTGTAATTTTGTTAACTTGCTGCACACATTCCTGGCAAGTTGTAGACTTGCAGAACACTTGCAGCACAAGTTCTAGTTGACACTTTTTGAATTTGTAGCAAATTTGCTTGGCAAGTCTACAGCAAGAGTCCTGCAGGTCTTAGCAACAGCTCTGCAAGCCCGCTGGTCTGGAGACTTGCAATGCAGACTTGCTGTAATTGTGCAACAAAATTGTGAAGCTTGGCAAGTCTGCAAGAGTTTAGCAAGTCAATTTCAAACTTGCAGCACAATTTCTTGCTATCTGGGTAGAAGCATCCTAGGACAGGGCAGTCACTGGGAGGTGGTAGATTGTTACCGGATATCCGGACCGGAGTTCTCAAACAGCCCCACTGTATGGCTGAATCCAACATGGCACCTCCCTGTTGTCTTGTGCTTCTAGAGCACTCTCCCCTCCGCAGAGTGCATCCCCGCCAGTTTTTCCAGACTCACCTTAAGGGAGACTCGTTGCACCATGGATGGCTCTTTCCCCACTTCTCAGAAGACAGATCCAGATTTAGATTTTTGTTCTTATCTGCACTCCTTGCCTACCAAACCTGACATGGGGGGGGGTATGTCTCCAAAATTATAGAATCTTGCAGAGCCAAACAGGACATTTTGCATATCGGTACTAGAGTGGACACAAGAGAAGGATAAAGACGATATTGTTGCCAGGCTCGGTTCTCACCAAACAGATATACTCACCTGATCCTCAGGCCTGCACCAGTCAGTGCTCACCTCTCTTTCTCTCTGCTCTGCCTGTGGAATGTCCCTCAGCGTCCTCATGCTTGATACAAGCATAAGGCGTGATGATGTCAGCAGTCTTTAGGCCTGGTTCACACCTAGAAGTTTTTGATCAGTTCGAAAAGCGCTTTTAAATGCCCAACACAAAAAATCCCATGATTTTCAATGGCCCCGGTTCACACCTGAGCAAATAAACGCCAGCAGAAAAACGCAAAAACGCCCGAAAAGGTACAGGAGCTTCTTTGGACAGAAAAAAGCGCCATAGACTTCATTGGAAATTCCCTAAAATGCGCGACAGAAGCATGTTGCACATTTTCGTTTGCACATTTTACGCGTTTATAAGCGCGTTCTTCCATTGCCCACAATGGTTTATGAGCTGCAATTCAAAATGTGCATTTTCATGTACGCGCATTAAAATGTGCATACAATTGTGCACAATGCGCATAGATGCGCAAATAACCGCGTGCTTCTAACACACGTACAAACAGGCAAAACGGTGCCATCTGGGTGTGAACCAGGCCTTAGCAAATTTTACAATAAGTGACTCTAGGTGGAGCATACAGTATAAGCAAAGCAGCTAAGTACATTCAGTTCTATGGAAGATGTTCCAGGTGACGATTGACATGGAACATATGTTTCGAGAGCTTGCTGTCTGATGAACATCCATATGGTTTTCAATATTCATTATTGTAGTTTGTTCGGATTCTGAGCATTGAGAGTATATTTGGTTTGTGCTCAGAGTAGTTTCAGTGAAAAGGGAACTTTTAAGGGGAGGGATTTGTTCTTTTATTATTATATATAATAATCATGTGATAACCATAGGTCTATGATAACTAGGCAACGCCAGTGTGTATTTTGGTAGTTTCACTTTGCTCATTTGTTCATTTGATATAACGGGATTTAGGTTTCTTGTTTTCATAATTGCCATACATCCCGGTCACACACTTGTTTAGGTTCACTGTATTGACAGGCCCACCATATTTTTAATTCTGTGTGGTCTTGGGGATTTGCATACATCTTCAGGAAATTTCCACAAGGCAAGGTAGGCTCATTCCTTCAGGTGCCACTCTGTCATGACAGCTAATTGCTCCATGAGCACTTTGCTGCAGGTTGTATCTGTATTGTGTTTTCTAGAGGGGACCCAACGGCATACCTTCTACCACCGGATGAATGTCCCTTCCTCTCTATGCCGGTGTCCATCACCACGCATGTCCTTAATAACGTCACCTACACATGTAATGACACAACACGCATGCGTGATGACGTCTCGGCGGCCGCTCCGGGGGACATCCTGCCTAGAGACACCTCTGTCTTTCTGTAAACTAATCCTATCACCCCTTATGTAATGGAGATAAAAAATCCTATGAAATGGAGATGTTTGAAGTCCAGCCTGAGTGACAACCATGACTCCCTCCATAGATAGATTAGAGGAGTGTGCATAGCCACCCAGGGACAGGAAGTGTATTACTGGCAGGATCACCAGGTGAAAATAAAGGGGGGAGGCCTGAAAGAAGAAAAGTAATGTGGTCACCACATCTAAGGACTGGTAAGCTGCAATATAGGATTTTTGTTGAACCCTTTGAAAACTTATTTCACTGTTTTTCAACTTGACAGGTCTAAATATCATTTCTGAAACTACCTAAAGTTATAGATAAAAAGCCATGAAGTAGAAATTCGTAAATCTGAGTCACCTCATGACTACTCTACATATTGACCACACAATTTAATTAGGAACAGGCCAGAATGTTCTTGTCATTTGCTTGCAACAGCTCATTAGTCATATCTGGATGGCATCATTATTCATCCTTCAAAGTCTGTTATTACTCACAGTGAACAGCGGTGATGAAAGAGTAAAGTAGAATTATCCACATTACGGATGGAACACACTTTCTGTCCATGTTCTAAAGCTCCAGGTGAACCCAAATCTATAAAAAATAAAGGCAGAATTTGTAATTATTTTAAAATAAAAATCGAGATGTTTAAAGCATATTTAAACCCCCCCAAAAAATGTAATGTATTGCAACTTACCAGTCTTGAGATGTGGTAGCTGCAGTAGTTTTCTTTTGTTTTCTTTCATTTAACCTGGTGATCCAGCCAGTAGCACACTTCCTATCCCCCCCCCCCCCCCCACCCCACCCCCCCCCCCCCCTCCCTACAATAACT